CAAAATCTTGTTCTTGATCAACTAAACTCTAATTTAAACTCTGACATGCTTCAAGAAAAACACAAGTCTGGTTTTACTCCTTATCATTGCATAAAGACTACACTACTAAGGATTTAACATAACCTCAGGTAAAATGGATCAGAACAAACCTTCAGTACAGGTATTAGTAGACCTTGACCACATCATCCCACCAGACCAGCTCAGACAGATTGAAATCTCTGAAAGTGTCCTGAAGTGGTTCTTCTCCGTCTATCCTTTCATCGTCTGAAACACAAAGTTCCTTAAAATCAAGGCTAACAGCCAAATTGCTTAGAGTTGCCTTGACTAATAAGTGGAACATTAATTCTTGTTTGGATCACAACTTTCAATACTTCTCATAGCGTAGTGTTTCTTTTTTGTCTGTTAAAACTAGCTGAACAGGAAGAAATACTTTGAGCTAGATGTTTATTTATATCCCAGATCAGAAGGGGGGATGGAGAAAGATGCAAGAAAGATGTTGCATGATGCCATTCTTGTCATTTAGAAAGAGGAAAACAAAAAGGGAAGGTAATATATGTCAGAAAGATGCATCTGTAGAAATTAGCAGGGAAATTGTACCATGAATTGGGTTGGAAAACTGCAGAAAAAAAAAATCTGAATTATTTTTAAATTTGATAAAATAATCACTCGTGTTATGTCTTTGTGTTCATTTTCTAAACAGCATCCTCGTGTTTAGCTGGTTTGCTCTGAATGTCAGGCCTCCTTGTATTTTAATTAAATATAACAATTCAGTCTGAGCCTTCCTGCTGCCGAGTCGTCCAAAGCCTCAGTAGATCATTGGCAAATGGGTTTCTGCAAAGTATTAACAGAAGAGTGCCAAAAATGTGGTGTACATGATTTCATTATTATTTTCTGATTGAATAAATGTGCTCAAATAAAAGCTGAAATGAAATAAATCTGCTAGGTTATGCTCCTGCAATAAGACATTAATTTAATTTAAGATTTCTTACAAAGTTTTATAGGGCAATGTAAAGCTACATCATAAAATCTTTATTCAAACATCCCCCCCCCCCACCCCTATACATTCAAAATTAGGGAGCAACACACAAAATTCCTGTAGAGACTAAAAACGTGTTTTAAAACTCAAAAAGCAAAAAGGGATGTTGCCGTTTCCACACGTGTCATTTTATTTGGCTGTTTGTTAATGATGTGGCTCAGGGGTTAGGTATGTCTGCAGTGTGGTAGAGACAGAAGCTGCAGTCAAAGCTCCTGTGATCAGCAGCAGACTTCATAGAGACCAGCAGATGGAGGAGGGAGAAGCCTGCGCGCATCCTGAAGGTTTAGCAGAAACTGAGAGGTTACACTCCGCCGGTACAAAGATGACCTGTCACACGCTGAAACGCACCGCACCAATGCAGACGAGCTTCCTTATGTGCCTCGCATAGCGCAGCCATCACAGGGAGGCAGAGAGGGTTGGGGGTGGGGGAGGGGGGCATTACACCTGGAAATATGTGAAACGTCTCGCTCTGCATATATCCAGCCCCAACCTGGAGTCAAACCTCACGTGATGATGCTTCCGTCTCCATTTTACCCCCTAATTAATGTTGTTTTGTCTTCAAAGTGCAATTGAAACCTGTAGTTATCGGCCTTGATCGCTGAAATCTCAAGGTTGTCGGGATGCGAGCCGTCAAATAACAAATAGGTGTAAATATAGAATAACAGCACAACAGAGAAATGAAGGATTTTCAGCAGGTGGAGAGCGCCGCGTAAATGAGGCACAGGAGAGAAACTGTGAGATAATGTGAAGGACAAAAGCTGAATATTGTTTGTTTGGGTCGTCTCATGAAATCTGCTTTGCAGGGACTGCTCGAGCATTTCCATCATATATAACAAATAGAATATTTTCCATTTCCTTTGGATCTTTCCACCTGTTTTGCATCATCCAGAGGGGCAGGCCTCAGTCTCTCTCTCACACACACACAAACACACACACAGTCAGGTTGTGTCTCATTCACATCATCTCCCCTCTGACATCTGTGTGTTTGAGTTAGTGGGGTGGTTGGTGTGTGAGGTTAAATAGGCGCCTATCAATGGGAAAGGGGTGAATTAAGGCGGAACTGGCAGAATATCACACACACACACACACACACACACACATGCTCAGAACCAGTGACAATGGGAACGACACCATCAGAGCAGCATGTAAACTGCAGATGTGACCCACGCCTCAGTGATCATCCCATACTTTGGCTCGGTCGCCTGTCACTCAGGCTGTATGGGACCTCAACTGTGTGTGCAAGAACAATACTTTGGTGGATGACCTAGAAAATAAGCCGGTCCCCATCCGATTGTAAAAATGTTGTAAATTACTGGATCACTTATCTGTTTTCTCTTGTGTTGACCATTTCTGATGCCTTGCCCTTTGACCAATTTCCCCATTTTATTTCATTACAACCACTTCAAACATCAGCGTATTTTAAACACTAGGCCAATTCAAATTAGTGCAAAGCCGAAAAGTTGGGGGGGAAAAACAAGAGGATAATTTCCAGGTTATTGTTTACCAAAACATCTGAATACACATGTACTCAACTTGCTGTAATTTTATCACCCTAAATAGAATAGAAAACAAAATAAATGTTTTCAAAAGTTGACCAATTAGTAAATAAAGTCAATATGTGACTAATTAAATCCTAATAAATGCAACATTAGTATCATAAAGATCAATAAATGCAGCAAACAGGCTTGAAATGAAGTGGTGGAGACATTTAGAACTGATTAGGTTACAAAAACAATATCCTAAGGTTTGAAATTTTACAGCTGTCATGTTTGATACAGTTGATTCAGGGCCAAAATACAAACAGGAACTTATATTAGCTAAGAAGAAGGAAACTTACAGGAAAGAAAAACGAATTGATCTTAAACAGGTGAACAAGTGTAGAGTAATAATCAGTGGACCAGGCAGGGAAACAAATGATGTCACAGAGGGAACCGGCAAAGGATGGTGGAGCGTTTCAAAACTATGACAACATTCTGCTCATGTTCTGAAGGTGTTCATGCTTTTGCAAACCACTGTTTGCATAAAGTCTGCTGCCATGTAACATGCCATATAATCCAGTTTTAGTTTACTGTCAATACAAAAGTCTCTTAACATTTACAGTGTCACAGTAGATTTATCTGCTGCAGGGTTTATGAATGTCTACGCAGCATAAACTGGTTTATTAAGTCACAAAAAGGGAAAACCAATGATCTCATTTAATGGTGGGATATTAAATCTTCAAATTCAAATTTAAAGTGATATAGAGAGGAGAAAGTCTATGGGTAAGTCGAGGTAAAGGATCAGCAACCTTTACCCTTTTTGTCTTAATCCAGCTGAATAAAATAAAGTTTAAGAGCTTTTTTTTAAAAAGGGAAGAAAGAAAGAAAGAAAGAAAGAAAGAAAGAAAGAAAGAAAGAAAGAAAGAAAGAAAGAAAGAAAGAAAGAAAGAAAGAAAGAAATACAGAAAGAAAGAAAGAAAGAAGGAAAGAAAGAAAGAAAAGAAAGAAAGAAAGAAAGAAAGAAATACAGAAAGAAAGAAAGAAAGAAAGAAGGAAAGAAGGAAAGAAAGAAAGAAAAGAAAGAATGAAAGAAAGAAAGAAAGAAATACAGAAAGAAAGAAAGAAAGAAGGAAAGAAAGAAAGAAAAGAAAGAAAGAAAGAAAGAAAGAAAGAAAGAAAGAAAGAAAGAAAGAAAGACCACTTTGATATTTTTTATAAACATTTTTTATAAATATGTAACATATACATTTGTTGTCATATATATTTATTTTTAGGGTTTAAAGTAAACAAAAACATATATTTTCTTCTATGGGATTTTCATATTTGAGGATCATTTAAAAAATACACCTGAAAATAGTTTCAAAACAAGTTACAAGAAAAATAGACTTTAATGTCACACACTTGTGGAAGTTTGAAGTAAAAGCTCCATAAAAAACAGAAAACAGCTAAAACCTGTATTTGTTATAATAGTTTGCTCTTTATCATTTATTAAGACCCTTTGCAGGGAGTTCAAAGAGCTTCTTACGGCTCCAGAGCCACAGGTTGACCCCTGACCCAGGAAGTTTAGAAATCCTTTGCTAATTCCCTCTGTTTTTATTTCTGCAGCTGCATTCAAAATGATGAACCAGTCGTTGTTAATGCACTGTGACCTCAGTTAACCACCCAGAGCTGCATCTTAAACACATTTAAGCCAAAGTGGCATTTAGGGAAGGTTTTCCTGTTTCCTTTTATCTGCTACGTTTGTCAGGATCAGCTGAGATTTATGAACAAACTCTTTGTGTGACAGAAAATATGCTGCCCTGTCAGCATTGTTTTAGTCAGAGTACACAGCTGTCATTTACTGTAACAGGGAGAGGAGATGAGAGAGGAAGAGGAGGATGTCAGTCAGCAGAAGGACGCCGTTCTTACCTGTTGCTGCTCCACACAATGCCGCGCATGTCCTGGATTTTACATTGAATGTAGCCGGTGTCAGGCAGACATCTGAAATTATTTTACTTGTTTAAGTTAAAGGACCAAAACACATCAGGTGTGCAAATACATAAACACGTTTTTTATTTAAAAAAAAAAAAAAAACACAAAACAATACTTTGACTGGAATATAGCAACCCTTACGGCGAAACAGAGCCTTTCAAGAAGGCCAGCCTTAAAAATAAATATATTGGAGATAAAATACATTCCAGTGAGAAGCGAAGCTCTGAATTTCTTGCCAGTGTGGAGTCATGACGTTGTCCAGAATTTCCAAGCAGCAGCTCCAGAACCCGGAGCAGGGGCTGACTGTGTTTGTTTGTGTTTCTGCTTCCATCTGGGCTTCCCGTAGCTGTGTGGTGTCAAACCTGCCCACCTTCCTCCCATCAGACCCGAGGAACACAAGCCCTGCTGCCACGGCGCTCAGGCGCCCCGGCGGCTCAGCTTTCCTCTCGGACTGACTGAAGCGTTTCCCCACATTGTTGGAATCCAGCACCAGCCTGTTTACTGGTGTGGCTTTCTTTTTTTTTTTCTGGCTCTGTCTTTATTTGAAATGCAAACCCAGCATTTGTGCCACACAGCGCAAACCCCAAACCTCCCGCTTTGCAGATTCAGATACAGTTTTGTAAATCAGAAATTCTGCTCAGTTTCACCGATAAAACCGCAGTTTAACACTCAGACTAATTTACATCACGTAAATATTTCTGTTTTATTTGATGACTATGGTTTATAGCCAATGAAAAGCCAAAATTAAATTTTGTTTTGCAGAAAATTAAAAGACTACATAACAGCAATAAAAAATTATTTTTAGTAGAGAAATCTCCACAGCAGAGAATCTACACTCAGTCCTTGATCGCTCCTTTTGCATGAATTACTGTATCAACGTGGTGCAGCATGCAGGTGGTGGAGCTGGTCTGCAACGTCTGTAGGAACTTCAACTTGGATTACCTCTCCACTATTCCTCCAGACTTTGGAACCATGATTTTAAGATGAAACGTTGAAATAGGACTTTGGACCAGTGAGTCCAGTCCAGTTCTGCTAAACGCTTCAGGTTCAGCAATGGCTTTGCACTAATGATGTCCAAGTCCTGCTGAATCAGTGACTCCAGCTGCCTTGTTAATCTACGTAGAACCATTAAATGAGCGTTGCACTTTTTCCTTCCACTTAATTTTCCATACACACAGCAGTCTGTGAACTCCCAGCTTCTTCATCAAAGATATTTTTCTGACTTACTCTCTTCGCAGATGACTGCTGGACACCTGAGCATTAAAGTTTTTCACATAACTTTGCTATAGCATAGAAAAATAATGGAAGAATAAGAAACTAAATTTTTGTTGTTGTTGTTGTTGTTGTTGTAAGCCATAATCATCAAAATAAACAGAAGCATCTCAGAGTATATAACCACAGTATGAACCTGTGAACCTCGATATAAGTTTCACCTTTTCCAGTTAAATTACTGAAATAAAAAGCGATTTTTGAAATGATATTCTAATTTATTCAGAAGCAGCTGTCCATTCACCGTACATCACATATCATGCTGAAAACAAAGTGCTTTTTCACCTTTATTACAAAAACAATTATTTCTGCAATTGCATGACTCACATTTCAAACAGCTTTAAGCAAAAAAAAAAAAAAAAAGGGATGCTGAGAAGAAATGTAACTGATGAAGAACCTCAAGTGTGAGAACCAAAAATATTCAGCAACGTTCTGAGACTCACGAGAGAAATACTGCTTCCACAAATAACCACAGTTATGAGCTAAGAGAAACCAGGAATGCATTTTTCACCCTTTACAGTTATAAGCTGAATGTCAAGAACAAATAAGCTTGAAGCAACAGTGCCTATCTGCTGCCTGCTCAGGAGGTATATAATTCATGTGCTTCATTTTTGCAGCAAACAATAAATCATACAGCGGATCAAAGGAAATTATACACAACCTCGAGGAAAATGTTAACAAGATGATGAGGTGCATGCAAGAATGAGGATCTCTTCTTTATCCACTTTGTTTCTCTCTCTCTTTCTCTCTCTCTCTCTCTCTTTTTATACTTCCTTCCCTCAGCACAGCCAGATGGCAAAGCTCCAGCTCTGCAGTCCTCTTCATACACTCATCATATTTGATGGGCATCCTGCTGCCGAGTCTCGAGGAGGCCATGTGTTTTACGAAATGACACTTGTGACAAAAGAAAACTTCTATTTAGCAAGCTGGATCTTGGATGGGGGGTAGGAGGAGGGCAGCAGCATGTGTCTGTGTGTGTGTGTGGTGTGTGTGTGTGTGTGTGTGTGTGTGTGTGTGTGTGTGTGTGTGTGTTCATACCAATAACATCCATATTGTCTCATTGTTTTAGGTGTCCTTCAATCACATCCTTTCTTTATGTGAGTAATTTTTTAAACTATATCACATGAAAAATTTTACAATTTTCTACTCCAAAACAGAGATCTTCACTTTTACACACTGATAGCATAAATATCATACACCACTGGTCTCTTCTGCTGATGCATTCAAACATTTTACTCTTTAAAAGACAAAAAAAAAAAAAAATCTGTTTCACATTTGCATCTGGCACAATTTTTTTTTTTTTTTTAATGTTGGTTGTTTTATTTGTTCTCGATTTGCTATCATCTTATCCTAAAATTGTCTTTGTCTTCAATGGTGAGGAATTCCCATCAAAGTTTTCCCCTTCTCTTAATACTTTAGGGAATTTTCAAACGTCGGGATGTATGGCTGTAATGCCCCAAGATTTGTTCTCCCTGAAAGAAACGATAGAGTAAGAATATATTAACTACAGAGCAACCTGGCTTTACGCGGTCTGCATTTTACTCTCACTTCACTTTTTAGATTTACCAATATGTTATGCATAAATATAGACGACGTATGCATATCGATATAGAAATCAATATGTGCTTTGCAGCATTCCTTTTATTTAAAATTTAAAGCCATGTTCATGCATTAAAAAGCAATTTCAATGTTTCTGACTGCAGGGTTTAGATGCAAATCCATGGGGCATTACGTTAAAAAACCATAAACATCATAAATTAGGAAATAGAAATTAAAAATGGAAGCAAAAATGAAGACGTTTAGCTTGTATTTAATTACTGAATGCTCTCTCTCATGCTCCCTCTCTCCCTCTCTCTCTCTTGCATTTGCTGATGTGATAAACTTGCATTCAAGAAGGAACACAAAAACATGGCAAGTGTAAATGAAAAATAAAAAACCCGTTTAAAGCAAAGTATTTTTATTCACACAAATTTAATAAGATATATAACAACCGTTTGGTCCATAAATATTTAAGGGGAAATAGTTTCTATACACCATCTTTATCAAGAAACAGGGAAACATGGACAATCTTGATAGAACACTTACTGTACTCAACTATTAACACGAAGATCAATATATAAGGTTCTTGGATTACCCAACTATATCTGAAAGAGTGCACAAATGCTTTCTATGACATCGCTGCCCCTCCCTCCTGCCCACTTTTTTTCTTGTTTTTTTTTTACTTTTAAAACAGGATACACCATAAAAAGATCTTCGGAAATAAGATGCAAAACAGTACAAAACTAGTGAGGCGCCAAAAGGATGTGAGTCAGTTAACAAAGAACACATAGATCCTGAATTTCACAAACTCTCTCCCAAGTTATAGCATTAAGGCACATAGTAGAACTGAGTTAGGCGTCTACTTCATGAAGTAGATCAAGAGCGGCACTTTGTTCTGCAGGAGAACAAACTGTGACGCTCACAATGAAATCTGAAGGTTTTCTCGCTCGATCTATCAGCCAGAAGAAACAGGGGCGGGTTGTTGGTTTTGTTTTTTTTAAACTATTATTTTTTTGGTCTGTTCAGTGGCAAGTGTCAATAAAGAAAGTGTAACAAACAGGGAACACATGGACAATGATTTCCTACTGGCTTTTTCTCGCGACTCCACCCATCTGAGGTCAGATGTTTTGACTGGTTCTGTCAGCTCCTAAAGTCTAGTCCGCAGCGTCGCAACCGCCTAATTTCTCAGCCCCCGACTCTTTTTTTTTTTTTTTCTTTTTTTTTGTTTGTTTTACATTTAAAATCACGTCATTACCCTGAGCAACATGATAAGGACAATAATGCACTTTTCTCTGGGCAGTATGTTGTCACTGTGCAACTGAGTTTAGCTGTGGGTGTGTGGATATGTTTACCAGGCTCTGTGAGAACCGCAAGTCCCCAAAAGCAGAAAGCGCTCTGTCATACACACGAGTGATTCCAACTGATCTGAATTTCTTCTGCTGCTTTTTATTTTCTTTTTCTTAAATCATCAGTTTCCACTAATGGATGCGCTGAACAGTTACCACTGCACAGAGTGTGGGATTTGCTTCTGGATTCATGAGAAAAACGCCCGTGTGTGGTTTCAGCTTCTGTCTGGCGGCCGTCTAGGTGCTTTACAATGTAAATTTAGATGCTTTTACATGTAGCTTCTGTCAGATTGCCGGCGTCTGATTCCATCAAAGTCAGCCTCTCAGACTGAAAACATTCGGTATTAATTAAAGCCTGTTTTCTGGAGTTACCCATATACAGAACATTCGACAGGTTTTCCAAATTATTCCAACGCAGAACCAAAGAAATTAAAAAAATCTTGATAGTGCGAACACAGTGCATACATATACATACTTCTGGCACTAATTTATTATTTTTTTTATTTCACCAATTAACAATAAATTAGGGAGGGCGTGTTTCAAACATATTTTACTACAAATACACAAATTAAGTCAGATCAGACAGAGTCTAAATTTCCAGCCAAGTTTCAAGTTTTTTTTCCCCTCGAATAAAATCTGCAATCCAAGACAATTTTTTTCAATCTCTTTAACCCCAAATAAGTCCAAGAATCCAAAAGTCAATCTTTGCAGCTTGAGATGCTACACATTAAAGAAATTTCCTAAGTGGTCGCTGCTGTTGTAGCCGTTGTTGTTCCTGTTTGTGTACACAGTACAGCACTGTCTCTTCCCAGGACTTGTCTCTGCTTCATTTTAAAGGTGTCATTTACAAAAATAAATGTAAGTTGAAGAAAAAAAAAACTTAAAGAAAGTCCAAAAAAAAAAGAGCAAAAACAAAACTCAGTTGAAATAACAATCAGTCTGATAGAGATAGCTTGTTAGAAAAGGTTTGTCAAGGTAGTTTGCGAAGGGCTCCCCGAATCATGGCTGTCCAAACTAGAGGTGACAGAGGTCACTACAGTGATAGAGGGGTTTGTCAGGTCTGTTAGTGTGGCCGCGCTGGAGGGGGGGGTCAGGGCCCCACTGTCGGATGAGGGTGGAGGGAGTGAGGTGCCATCAGCCTTATCAACACCTCCATTCTCCTGTCGCAAAACGTTCCTTCTGAATTTGGCTCTTGCGTTTTGGAACCAAACCTGCAAACCAATCCCAGTGTGGCTTTTACTTTTTGTGTTTAAGTATAGTTGTTGTTTTTTATTATTGTTATTTTAAAGAAAGCACCAAATCATTACATATCAAATTATGACAGGTTTTACTGCAGTTTCCCTTCTCTTTAGATATATAAACCTTTATAATATGATCATTATTTTTGAACTATTGTGTGATTTTGACAGTAAATCAAATCAAAATCCTGCACCTATTTTTTTTTAATGCAAGAGCTGCAGCTATAAAGAAAATATGCACTCTCATTATGAGTAATATAACAGTGTTTAGCTTTTGGTTGCATTCTTTATTACTACTTTTCAATTTTCTAGAAAAAAATAGCATTTAACAGTTAGGAAATTTAATGTAAAGGCCCCTGGATGTACATCTAACGACTATGGAACAACAAAACAAAGCAAAACTAAAAGAGATGAAATTGATGGCGTGAAACAAGGGGAGTTAGAGGGGGAGAGGGATGCAAACACTCAGTGTGAGGGATGAAAACATCAGTAAAGAGGAATGGCTGCTTGCTTACCTGCAGAACTCTCTTAGTGAGGCCTGTTTTCTGAGCCAGCTGCTTTAAGTCCTTGGCGTCCGGGTTGTGGTTGATGGCAAAGTAGGATTTCATTGTCCGGAGCTGATGGTGCTTAAAGGAGGTCCGCATGCGCTTGGTCTTCTGCGTCGGAGCGTAGGCCTGCTGGTCTCGGTCCAAGTGGTCGGTGTCGTTCTCGTTGCAGCCTGCACAAAGGCCAGGGAGCAGAGCACAGTCAGAACAATGAAGCGCGGATTCAGAAACACTCATTTGGAGACTAGAATTTCAAAAAATATTCTCAATCCTGCCAAAAATGTAAGTTATTTGAGTGGATAAATATCTGCATTTCACTGTTTGCAAAAACTATTCTGATGCATTGGATTAATCTAAAGTTTGCACCTCTGGTTTTAATTGGAAGATGATTAAAAAAAAATTGAACAATTTCTTCCTTACAAATAAAACAACCCTAAAATTGATTTAAGTTGCTCCAAATAACTTAATTTGCCTCCAGATGATGTAATGCACTCGGAGACTGATAAGAAAAAATACAATTTACATCAAAATATGGCTAAAATCAAGGGTTTATTAGTGAATAAACATATTATTTTAGTCAGAATTGTTTTCTCAGCAAAAATGAATCACATGCTGTCCGATTTGAAAAGTTTGTTTACACATTTGTTGGTTGGTACGAGGCGAGAGCATGATGATTAACATATGTATTAACCAATACGGACGCAACATACAACTGGAATCTACTGTCGTTCCATCTAAAATATATAAGTTTTAAAACCAACCAAAATAGAGCCAACAGTTTGATGAATTATTACAAATCATTACAGTAACACTGGAACCAGGCTAAATGCTCTCTGCTTGTGTTTGCAGGGACTAATAGGCCTAATGGGCCTCATTTGTCAGCAGCTTTGAAAGTAAAACACCTGAAATGGATTCACTGAACGGTATGCATGCTTGGCTAAACGCTCCACAGATGCTCCAGCATTTATCAGCGTGACAGAAAGAATCACACTATTTCCGAAAGTTGGTAAATTGTTGCAGAAACTTTTTGGCCTGGCAAACAGATCATTTCCTTCTTTTAAAGTATAGAAATTTGGTTTGCTAAGGTTGGACTTTTATAATTTTCCCTGCAAATGAGTGAAAATCTAATGTTCAAAAAAGGACATTGCATTGATTTTTTTTTTTTTTGTGGAGTTGTGTTTTTATTTGAGGATAGTAAGATAATGTGTATATAGTTTATTACCTAGAGAGCAAAAACACTAGCAGCTTAATTATAGGAGAGATAGATTTTATATAATGTTATAAAACATGTGCTTAAAATCTGCTCTTTCATGTAGGACAAAAATAAGACGCATAAAAACTTCTTTCTTTATTATTACTATTTTAAAGCATCGTGAATGCATCCATCTGTCTGCTTTCTGTGCTCCAGTCCTCACTGGACGGTGTTTCTCTCAGCATCACCCACTAGGGGTCTCCATATGCATAGGAGAGCAACGTGTTCACCGAGCGGTGGGGAATACACACCTTTCCCCTGGTGGAAACATGCACGGATGTTCCTACTGAAGCACAAACAAAACCTCAAACGAAACCTCTTCCAATTTGTCAGGAATGTGAGTCTCTGGGTTTGACACGTTGGTGTATTAACATGAACAGTGTGAGACAGTAATGGGACATGTACACTGAGTCTGTTCAAAATGGCAAAGTCAAAAGAGGAAAGGAGGAGGGGATAATACTCCTGCTGATGGAGCTGAGAAGCTTTATGTTTTATAGTTTTCACCCGAAGCATTTATTAGACCCAAAATAAAGAATACAAGTGATATAAATTTGTTTGTATAAATAAAGTTACAGAGCAGCAAAAGAAAAAAAGTCTAAACTTGATTTTATATGTTTATATTGTTGCATGTATGTATATAAAATACACAGTTTCAATCTATTATATTCTACAAATAAATTAAGAAATTAAATAATCCCATGGGACCTTTACTGTGTCTGTGCTGCCTAATAATGACGTAATGTAGACTAAATTTATCGGAGGGATTTATTATTGTCTGTAAGTGGCTTTTTACCGCTTTGAATTATTCAGTTTAACTTTTTACCTGCTGTGACTCAGTTTCACTTTAATGTTGTGGAGTATTAGACGAACACATTTTTAAAATTATTATTAAAATAATCTATCTATCTATCTATCTATCTATCTATCTATCTATCTATCTATCTATCTATCTATCTATCTATCTATCTATCTATCTATCTATCTATGTTTTTCTATTAAAGAGTCCCATATGAGACATTCCCACTGGGACTTTTACTGCGTCTGGAGCTTAATGAATTAATACGGACATCATTTAGCTGTGAGATTTACAATTGCCTGTCAGTGTTGTTTTGTTTTTTTGCTTTGTTTTGTTTTTTTTTTTCCTGTTGTGACGGCATTGTGGAGCGTAAACAAATCGCAAAAGCTATCCTGCTTCCTATAAAAGCAACAGTGGGAACTTTAAGATTTGCATAATCCTTCGCAGTTGTGTTTGGGGAAAATAAAGCTTTTTTTTTTCTTTTTCTTTTTTTTTTTTCCTTCCTGTCGAGCGCAGCTCGGACAGTACAGTGCCCTGTGCCTGTCCCTGCTGCAGGCCCCTGTGCGCGGAGCTGCTCTGTCCCTGAGAACCGCACTGACCGCCGCGCAGGAGGCCAGGGATTCCAACGTCACCTTCAATTAACAAGGAACAATTAACGCGCAGATTACCCCTATTTCTCCCCCTGTTCCATTCAGCGGGGGAGCAGGGGAAACTGGGCGCACAATGACAAACTTTCTCAACCGCACACTAATTCGCGGAAAGCGACAACAAAATGGGGACGCAGCGGGGAAGGTTGGGGGGTCGGGGTCGTAACATTCAGGCGACTGAAAAGAAAGATTTCAGATGAAAAGTGGCGATTTAAGGCAAGTTTACGCAGCGAGGATCCAGTTTAGTAGCTTGGAAGAACAAACTAGTAAAATATATATTTTTCCCTCAAAGCAATCCTCCTCCTACCCCCTAATACTGTAAAGTCATCAAGATATAAATTCAATATAATTATAGAAGTTGACGAGCAGGTTGACGCAGAGGTCAAATTTCGATTATGGGCTACTTTGTGTAACCTCGGAAACGGTGCGTAAAAAGACGCCTCAACAGAAAGCTGAGGCTCAACTAGCCTCAAATAATGTTTAATGTTTTTATTATTATTTTACTTTTTTAAAGGCCTAAATGAGACGTGTGTTTATCTTAAAATCTGTAGAACGCGGGTTTTTAGAGCGCAGTGCGAGGAAATTTATCAGATTGGAGAACAAAGGATTTTATGCGTAACGGAAGCAATATTTATCTTCTTAAAATCAAAAAGAAAAATTGTAAAAATCTATATATATTAATAACAATAATCCGATATTTATTTATTTATTTATTTATTCTGATTCTGAGTGAAAAGGAGCTGAAAAGACGGAATCAAAAGGAGCGTCCCCAAAGAGAAGCAGTTTTCCACATCAAGAAACTTGCTTGACAAATTTCAGTAAAAGCTTTCAAAGTCAACCTTCCATCGGCTCATGGGAGCTTTTAGGATGTAGGCCACCGCAGCAATTAATATTCTGCAAAAATTATGCGAGGGGGGGGGGGGGGATTCGTCTAACTTTGCTCTGCTGCTGCTGGACCGGTCCAATTTTTAAGGTCAAATAGTTCATTTAGATCCGGGTTAGAAAATAAAAATAAAAATAAAAGCCCATGCATGTGAACGTGTGAGGCCCCACCCCCTGGACCACTCACCTGTGTTGTAGCTGGGTATGTCTATCCCCATGGCCGGGCTCTTCCTCTTGCGCGGCCTCCCTTTCTGCGCCGTCCCCGTGCCGTTGAAGTAGGGCAGCGCGAGGCCGCCGCCTTTGGCCGCCAGCTCGGCGAAGTTGAGCTGCGGATGGTAGTCCGGGCCCTGCACCAGCGTCTCGAAGTGGAGCCTGCAGTACACCAGGCTGTCCTTCATGCCGAAGTGGTCGCCCGTGGTCAGGGTTTTGTTGCACGTGGTGCACGTGAAGCAGCTCAGGTGGTACACGGAGTCGCGCGCTCGCATCACCATCTCCGAGGCGGATATCCCGAGGTGGCAGCGCGCGCACCTCTGCACGGAGAACCTTCTGGAACAGACGCATCGTCAAAAAAAAACCCCGCATACATAAAATAATCTCCAATGTGACTGAATGCTAACTTGAAGCTGGCTAACGTGGGGGGGTTACAGTGTTCAGGTGAGGTGAAACGTGTGTGTGACTCAGTAATAATGTATGCACGTATAGGCCCGCACTTTGATGTCGCTAATAGCCACATCTGGCCTGTAACTGAGTGTGTGCGTGTGTGTTTAAACCGTTTCTCCCTTAAATGTAGAAAAACTCAGCCTTAACCTCAGTCATTGCTCCATACAACACAATCAATTAGCGTCATATTTGTTAATAAAACAAAATAGAAGTAAGCAAAAAATGCTTCTGATTTTACAGTTGTATTTTGTATTAATGATGGCATTCCAGGTAGCACGCATGCCCGCTTTATTTCAATGTGAGAATGTGGGGAAAGCTCAACAGCGCCCAGGAAAAAAGCCACAAATGGGTTACTTTAAAACTAAACGATGGCTTATAAAGCTCAAAACGAGTAAAAGGCGCAAGGAAAAAGAGACGGTGACTCATGCATTCATGTCCATGTGGTTAGCATTATAGTCACAGCATTCCTGCCTGAGCCAGTGCCGAATACACTGGAATTTTAGTATCAAAACTTGTTTCCAGGATCACCATTATGATGTTAGTGTGCAAGAATGAGGCCTAAAGCAGATTCTTGAATCAAGGTTTATATTGACATGGCTACACTAAAGAGCTGAGCATTTAAAACCAGAGCGCGCCGATGTTTATCCAAGGTCTTCTTACCTGTAGTAATCCTCCTTGCAATAAATACTCCCATCCTTGGCAAAGCACGTCAGCTCCGATTCCAGCGCCAGCTTACATTCACAGCATTTGAGGCAGCGCAGATGCCACTGTTTGTCCACGGCCAGGAGGTAGTATCTGTCCGAGATCTTCCCACCGCAGCCGGCGCACAGGGCAGGCTTCTCCGGGCTCATGGAGGTCATGGTCTGGGGAACAAAACAAGGTGTGAAAGGGGGAAGATTACGAAACCAATTCGTTCATTTATATAAAATTGGTTATACACAAACAAATATGAATTTATGTGTGTGTATATATATATATATATATATATATATATATATATATATATATATATATATATATATATATATATAATTTTTTTAATAAACATTTTATTGTTACATCTCGAACCAGATGAGGTTAAATACGAAACAGCAGAAAAATTAAGTACGGAGTTAAATATTTGTCGTTTTTTTGTTTTTCCTTGGGTAGCTGTTTTATCTAATCTGTTTAGTACAAAACATCTACACTTTTTGTTTAATGTAAATCTAATAATTCTAATAATAATAATAATAATAATCATAATAATAAATATAAAAATAACCACAAGGTGTCAAATTGTCAAATTATTTAGATATACTTCAAATATATTGCTTTTGGTCTCTTTTGAGTTTTTTGGGGGGGTTTTAGAAGAACCGTATTTAATATTTCAATAAGAATAATTATTTTATTTTTCATAATACATTATTCAGTTGTATTTCAAATTAGAAAAATTCAAGCACATTATTAAGTTGAAAATAAGTGCCAATAAAGATGTTAATGCAGCTCAGGTCTGCTTACCTTAGAAACAACACAGTATCACGTCACTTGACATGATCGAGTATTAAAAAATGAATTTTGGTCTGAATTTCAGCTCTATCTCCGCGGTTCTTACCGACTCCCTGCCGTTGAGCTGCATGCCCTTCGCCAGGCGCGACTCCGTCTTCGTCCTTCTCTCCATCTCCTCCATGATCCCTTGGATGTGATCCCCGGAGATCCCGTGGAAAAGCATGGCTCCCGGTCCTGGACACAACGTGCAACTGCTCGCCTCTGTTTTGCAGCTCACAACTTCCATATACCGTGCCTCTGCGCTGCGCCCCGTTTTCCTTTCTTTCTCTCTTTTTTTGTTTTTCTCAGCGCATCCGACTGGGCTCTACACAAAACACAAAACAGGAGAAAAAAAAAACAAAAACAAACCAAACCCTGGTGATTTAGACCACCTCCTCGGCTGAAAGCAGAAAAAAACTACAGCATGGGTGGGACAGGAGGAGAGGCGCTGAATTCCTGCTTCCCGTGAATGTCTCTCATCCAGTAAAAGAAGAAGAAAAAAAAGTATATAGTCCAAATGATGCGACAAAACGATGTAGAAGCTGTGGTGGAGGGGGACCAGGGGAGTAGGAGGGGGCTACAGTGTGAGCAGTTGCCAAAAAATAATGTCACAAAGTTTTGGGTTTCTTCTTTTTGTGCTGCAGGAGGAAGGGAGGGGGTTCCTCGGTGCTTGGAGGTCAGGTTGGGACTGCCTGGATTTGAGAACCGTGTTGTATTTGTGAAGAGAGCAGAGCAGAGCCGGCCCAGTCTGAATAATTTGGTAGGAGGAGTCCCCTCTCTCTCTCTCTCTCTCTCTCTCTCTCTCTCTCTCTCTCTCTCTCAGTTTCACCTCTGATTTTCTATTCACCAACAAAGAGCTGTCACTATTTCATCAAAAAGCATCACTTTATCCTCACGTTTTCATTGCCTTTATCGGGCTTTAAAAAACATCTACCTGAAATAAACCAAAATATTATATTATATTATATTATATTATATTATATTATATTATATTATATTATGCATATTTTATAGATTGTATGTAACTGATATACTTAAATATGCATCCAAAGCTTAGTAAATATAAAGATTTTTTTGTAAATACATATAAAAGAAATAGAAGAAAAACTACATTTCTCACTGTGTTGCGTTTACGGACAGTTTTATTCTGAAACCACCTATTTGGCTCAAGTCGTGTGTTTTTATGCCCTGAAATAACGCAATAAATCTTCCTGCTGTACAGCTGGGGCGGGGCAGAGATCTGTGACAGCGTAGAAGGCGGGAACAGGTTGCATTGATACCATTTTGAAATAATAATGATAATAATAAAAATGTAAAATAAAGCATATTATTAGGATTTTGTCCAAAACACAATGTTCATTTTTAACTGAAAAAATTAGGATAAACATTGTATGTATACTTTTGCATAGACCAAATTCATCTCTATTTCCATTTATGAAAAATCAGATTTTTTTTTACTCCAAGAAGTAAATGTTCTCTTTCCACAATGTGTGTGATAAAAACACATTAATATGTACCTGTAAATGTCATGCAGAACAAAACTCCCTCTCCTTTCCATTATGTGTCACATTTTTGCAGGAATCTTGGGCTCATCAACACATTTCATCTCTTGTAAGTCGTGAAAACCTTATTTACCAACAGGAGACTTGATGTGACGGAGCTTCACCATTATTTTTTGGTAATATTTTCCAAAAAGATTGCATGAAATTCTATTAAATATTGCATTTCATGAGAGCCACTGTGGAGCAATATAATAAAGATCAGTGTCACTTTTAAAGGGTGTGCGAAAGCTGTTTTATATGAAATAAAAAAAGAAGAAGGGCCAGACTTAAAGAGTTTCAGTTGCAGTCCAAGAAGGGAGTGAAAACTACCCAGGCTCACACAGGGCCGGATTTAGGAGCATGGGGGGCCCTGGGATGGAGCCAGTTTTGGTGCCCTATTCACTAATTAGTTTGTTGCACATTAACTTTGAAGTTTTATGCCTTATTCACATACAAATAGTTTTTCTGAGATGGTCTTTTTAAACTGCTCTTTCAAAACAAACAAACACAAATCCTCATAAAAAAAAGAAAAGCAACAGTGTCAGTTCTGGAAACACACTCACACAAGAAAGGCCTAAATGTTTATGGTGCCATGCATGCTAGGGCTGAATACACAATGTGAAGAAAGCAGATGTGGAGTATGGCCTGCAAGATATATGCACTGATATATTCTAACTTTTTTTTTTTCATAAATAAAATCTACATAAAAATATTAAATTTGTCTTAACGCCCCCATTGCTATGGGCCCTGGGTTACTGCCCCTGTAGGCCAGCTTTAAGTCCAGCCGGGGGATACCGGCCTTATTGCTGTTCTAATAATTAACTTGATTAGGTAAATACTCATAAAGTGACATTATAGCTCAAATAATAGATTTACACATGCTCAGGAGGGTTTGCAGGTGTGGATGCTTCATTTCAACACATGTAAGATCATCATGACCCCCCCCACCCGCCTCCCCACTTCTCTCTCTCTCTCTCTCTCTCTCTCTCTCTCTCGCCCCCCCAGTGAAGTTGTGTTGGCTTTAATTGGAGGCCCCTTGATAGCAGCGCTGTAAGCTGAAGCCTGAACCTTCCTGGACGGGCTGGAGCTGCAGCTGTTCTCAGAGCAGAAACCTTCATTTGCTCTCTGTCAGGGTCTCAGCAGCAGCCGCAAAGCGGTGAGAATGGACAAAACGGATCGCATTTCACCTGGACAAAGACACCCCGAGAGGGGGAAAAAAGGAGCAAGCCATCTCTGTGTGAAATTCATTCACGCCGCTGATTTTTTTTCTCCCTCCTTTAGAAAATAGGAACTTGCGCATTTATGCATTTTTTGTTCATCCAAACGCATAAGTTTAAAAGTCTAACATGTACAAGATAATGTATTTTTTTTTGTCTCGTTAGTTTTGACCCATTGCCTCCAGCGGTGACATTTCATTTGACTGAAGAGGGTTTAAGCAGTGTGTCAGTGAACACCAAGGGGATGAAGAAATCAGCTCTTTGTTGCCGTCGTTTTGTTTTATTTCTTCCCCATCTCTATTCGCAACCATGAACTTACGAGCCCTTTGTAATTTATTTATTTATTTGTAAAAAAAAAAAAAAAGAAAAAGAAAAAAAAACGATTTTAGAGTTAGACTTTAATCATTATTATACACTCTAGGCGTAAATCAAGCTAAAAAAACATTTACCATATTAAGACGTGAAAGAGTTTTATTTTGAAGGATTAATGAAAAGCGTGATTTATTGATTGTATATATATATATATATATATATATATATATATATATATATATATATATATATATATATATATAGGTAATTACTATTATTATTTAGGTAATTACCAATTACCTAAATAATACAAATTGCAAACGTCCATTTTTACCCCCTTATTTTCGTATATCGTCAGAGAGCAGAGACTCTTATAAATCTAAACTGTAAAAGTTCTCAGATCCAAATTAAAACGCCTGGATTTTGATGGTTTAACGCGTTTTTGGTTTTTTGGTTTTTTTGTTGTTTTTATTGTTTTGTTTTTTTCATACTTTAAAGCCACCTGCAAAATCCAGAGTTTGGCCAATAAACGATCACAGATTTGCTGGCAGCACCAAAAAAAAAAAAAAAAAATCAATCCGTGGCCTTACCTTCCATCACATCCCGGTTCATCCTGCAGAATATCAACCGTGTCATCGTTACATCCTCACATGTGCCGCGCGCATTTCTCAACCCACATTCCTCCGTCGATTTCCTCCAGTTTTTTCCGTCAAATCAAGCCCCGCTCTGTGTTATTATCGCCCCAAGACTGAAGAGTTGCAGAAAGGGTCTTACCTGAGGCTGTGAGATCCCCCTGTGCGGCGCGCAGGCGGAGGAGCTGCGGACTGTGCGCGCAGAGCAGAGGAGACAGACAGGCGGAGGAGACGCTGCCTGTAGATGGGGGATATGGGGGGGGGGGGGGGGGGGGGGACGGGTGGTCCTCGTTTCAGAGCGCGCAGCTCCCGTTCGTGCGTCAATTAAAACACAAGACATTTAAATATTCCCCTCTCTCTTACATGCAGAAAGCCCTCAACAGAGAGCATCAAACAGGAGAACGGGAAGGCACGAGCCAATGGCCTCCTCTGCATGGAGGATTTCATTCCCAAACAAGAACAGAAACTGAGTTTAAAAGCGGCTGTAAAATTATAAAAGGCATTATTGTTATTATTATTTTTAAATCTTAGCAACCCGGGTAATGCAAAACGTTAATGCATCTGCAATCAACGCAAATGAGAGTCACGGTCACAAAACGCACCAGCAGCCGTGAATGTTTGTGTTTGCATAGAGATTAGAAGGGAACGGCAGCAGCTTCAGGTTCTGACTGTCTGCAGAGGTTCGTGTGAATATGCAGGAATAAAGGTGCGCAGTCAAACTCGATCAATCAGAAGATGTGGAGCACAGCAACACACAGCTGCAAAACAAGAATGGCTTCTGTCTTCAATAAGCACAGGCCAAATTGAAATAACACACTGCGCGTTCATTTGTGTGTTTTCGCAGACGGGAACACACAAAGTGGAGCCTAAACTCACAGCAGTGATTTAATCATTACAGTTTTTACCCCTCACTCTCTCTTGTTTTTGAATGATGATTATTACCCAGAAAACATATTTATTACGAATAATGTCTGATTTAAAATTATTTTTTTAAAGATAATATAAAATATTTATATTGCACATTTTAGAAAGATTACAAAGGTGCACATGACATGAATAAAAGTTGCAGAAAATCCCATAATAAATTTAATACTAATTCATCTCTAGGTTCATATTTGTCCCCTTACGATCCTACCCATAATTATCATGCATGGAAATTGTAATTTAACAATAACAATAATTTAAAATGATAGAAATTAGAAATCAGCACGTTTTTGTAGGAAGAATCAAACCATGTCAACTTTCATCTTCCTGAAATATTCCTTAAATCATAATTCACTTTTATCATCACCATTTTATCTCAATTAAGAGGATAAAGTTGAGAAAAGGTGACTTCATTTGGAGAGGTTTTATTATTTATTTTCTGGCAGGCTAAACGATAACATGACAACCATCTGTTACATTAAAGAGCATAAAGTGCTGGCTCCATTTGAACTGCATGTTTATTGTTAAATAAATGAGGAAATGGGCAGCATCCAGAATAGGATGTCCAAGGAGAACAACACACACACACACACACACACACACACACACACACACACATGCACATGGAGGCTCAGATGGACAGATTTCAAATGACAACAAGTTAACAGAGTACAGTGGTGCTGGGAGCAAAAGGGTGACAATTAATTACTCCTCTGCATAAACGATCATGTGCCACACTGCTAACAGTCATTTTGCTTTGCTTCTTCAGCCTGGGTTGACATCACAGTGCATCTCATCAATAATGCAGCGACGGCGAGATCCGTTTCACAGCGCGCCACGCACGGCACGTCAACGCGCACGTGGCGGCTTCTCCGCGCCTGACACCCAGAAACACGCGCGGCTCGGCGTCCCGCCTGGGCTCCTCGGTGCGACCCGTCCCGGACGCCGTGGCTCCGATCTGCTGCAGGACATGGTGGGCTGGATTGCCACTCATCCAAGGTTCATGTGGAGTTATCATTTCTGGGTCACCTCCAGTGACACTCTGTCTTGCAGAGCAGCTCTCCCCGAGCGTGGACAGGAAAGGAGGTGGAGGAGGAGGTGGTGGTGGTGGTGGAGGGAAGGCTCTCCCAGGATCCACTGTGGAGCAGGGAACCACAAGCTAAACACTGACAGAATGAAGGAAAGGGAAGGGGAGAGAGGGTGGAGGGGGGCTGAGGAGGAGGAGGAAGAGAGGGAGGAGAGAAGCACTGTAAAGCTTTATAGTCACATGTATCACAGTCACATGGAGCCTGGGTGGGTGGGTGAAAGGATGGAGAGATGTTTACAGGCACAAAATGACCATGAAGGGAACATTTTTGATGGAAACGGGAAATATCAGAGCAGCCGATTTACTTGATTTTAAAGCAGCTTAATCAAATCTTCTGCTGAGATTATAGTTATGTTTTTGCATTTCTTGTTGGTCATTTCTATCTAACTCAAACTCCCTGCTTCCTCTACTCCCCCCCCCTCCTTTTATCTCCCTCTATCTTTCCCTTCCCTTCCCTCCCTCCTTCGATCTCCTCCCTGCTCTGCTCTGCTGGAGCTCAAATCACAACCCCGGTCCCTGGCAGATGGAGGATAGGAGAGAGAAGCTCTTAACTAGCCAGCCTGAGCCTCTGCTCTCTGCACACCAACTGCTGCCTGCCTCCCCTCCCTGCATCGGAGAGAAGCTCCACCATCACACACACACATAAACACACTCCTCCGGCTCCTCTGGGGACGCCGTATCCTCCCGGGGAATGGTGCGTGTATTAGTCCAGATCTGGCCACACTAGAAAGGACATGGAAACATAATAGATGGATGTTCTGTATCATAATATACTGGTTCAGGTTATGTTGTCAAATGGACAGAGGTGGGTAGAGTAGCCAAAAAAAATTGTCCTCAAGTAAGAGAAGCACTACTTCAACGTATTTTCACTCAAGTGAAAATTATTTCTCAAGAGTAAAAAAGTATTTGGTAAAATGACGACTCGAGTACAGAGTAACTGATCAAAACGTCAATCATTTAAGATTTAAAAATGACTAAATCAGACAGACCAAAACGAGGAAATGCTGGTATATCACAAATCTTAAATAAAAGTAATTCATGTAAGTCACATAATTACAAAATAACAACATCAGGCAAGAGAAACAAGTTTCAAAATCAGTTTCTTTCAATATAAAACTTAGGAAACTGTAACAAAAACTGCAGGTGTGTGTCTGGTGAATTTTTGGTTGAAACAAGTTTCATTCAGTGAAGTCACTCATAGTGGGTTGAGGATCCAGAATTTTTACTCAAGTAGAGTAAAAATATATTTGGTAAAAAGGCGACTCAGGGCTACTTTTAATCAATACTTGAATTTTATTCAGAAGTACTTGATACTTTTGAGTAAAAGTAACAAGTACTTTTATTCAAGTACTTAATATTTAAACGATTTTACCATCATTCAGACCAAAATATAAAGTTACATGAAAATGTTGGTATTGTAAAGGCCTACAATAGCATAATTCATATAAATATAACTAAAAAATAAGATAAATGGAAACATTTTTTCCAAATCAATTTCTTTCCATGTAAAACTCATGAAACTTTAACAAAAACTGAATTTTTGGTGTTCTTCATTCAGTAAAGCTGCTTGGAGAAATTTTAATCAAGTACCAATGCTTCAACATATTTTTACTCAAGTAAAAGAAAATCCATCCAAGAAATCACTGAAGTCAGAGTAAAATTGTATTTGCTAAAAATGCTACTCAAGTACCGAGTAACTGATCAAAACATAAAGTTAAGTGGAAATAGATTTCTTTCAATGTAAAGCTTATAAAATTTTAACAAACATTGTAGGCGTGAATTTTTTGGTGTTTTTCATTCAGTTGCTCGCAGTGGGTAGAGTATCCAGAAATATTACTCACGTAAGAGTAGCGATACTTCAAAACGCACACACACAAAAAAAACTCCTAAAAGTACCTTCTATTCAAGTAAACCTAACTAGTTCCGCAAACGGTCACCTTTCTCTTAAAGACGCGATGTAAAGAAAGCAATGACATTGTCTGGATGGGTGTGACAAGAAATCACAGATATGAGCGCTTTAATGTAGAACCAGGGAGGGGATAAACAGGCCAGAGCGCTCCTCGGGCTCCTAGGTGCCTTTGACTGCCCCTGACTTTCATCTGGGCTCATCTGGCGGCCGCGGCTCCGCCTGGCATGAGCCTGACCACCAGTTGCGGTCTGAGGGAGAGGCAGCTCCTCTGTGCTATTTGCAGCCCTGTCTGTCCAAAGGAATCTGGTGCGCTGACTATCACTCAGCGGCCGCGTGTGTTTTTTTTTTTTTATCACTAATTCTACCACAGGGATGCGGTTGTCCATATGACCACTGCGGAGGCTGCTGCCCCGAGGCGAGCTGACACTGTCTGTGTAGAAGGACCAGACGTTGATGTAGGGGCTGCTCAAATGCTGCTTGAATATCAAGACACGCGTGCGCGCGGCGGCGCGGGCGCGCGCGCACACACAAACGTACAAAGCAGTGCCCGGCTAGTTACTGATGTTCCTTTCAGCCATCATAAGGCTGACACTCAAGGTTTTTTTTTTTTTTTTTCCTGTCTTCATGCCAACCCTGTGTCAGTTCCTGGCTGGTCTGTCCAACAGTGATGGAGACACTTTTACTGGCTGCGGTTGGGGCCTTTGGCCGCGGGGTTGCTGAGGCTCTGTGAGATGGTGGGGGCTGCTTGGCCTGTCAACTGGTTGTGACTAGAGCCCGTCTGCACGCAGATCCGATCTGGACAGCTCTCTCTCTTTCTCTGCGGCTAGTGGCATCGTCCTGCAGAAAGGCACACGGTGTAGAGCTGCCACTCTGCTCCAGTGCAGCATATGCTCCGGCTGAGGGTCAGAGATGTTCAGTCCAAAATGCCTGAAATAAAAACCTCATATGTCTGCCTGACAGTTGTAGTGCAGCAGCAGATCTGCAGTGAGGAGGGCAAGTGAATCTGGAGTGTTTGCTCATATGTTCACATTTGTTTTACCCCCAAAAGCCAATATTGATATTCAATAGATTAGAATATGTGATTCAACTACCTTTGAAAATAACGACCTTTATTTAATTAGGCATCAAACATACATTTCTGCAGTAAAACATTTTTATTGATCTGAAGTAATATTCTAATCTTTGTCAGATTTTCATTAACAGTAAGCAGAAAATAATCATAATTATACAGAAGAGGACTAGGACCACTGGAAAAAAA